TAAGCACTACCGATTCTCAGGCTAAACCATTCCTGAGGGGTGTGAGCGGTCACCTGAGGTTCAAAAGTGCACCCTCGGATAACTCCGACAGGCAGGAGGGGGGGTCCCATCCAAGGGCTGGGGAGCCCTTTTTCTCCCCTCCGCGGGTCTTCAGGTGTCCCCAGGGGAGATGATTCCTCTTGATGCTACCGGCTGTCCCACACTCACACCACTCAACAAGGGCTTTTGTTCCAAAAGAACTGGTCTCGCCCTGAACCAAACCAGGTGTTCTGTTAAATTCAAGGAAAACAATTTAGACTCGGTGGAGGGATCATTTGCGTTTTTAAGGGAGCTGGCGAATTCAAACACAAGAGGTGCATGGGAGCGCTCTAGGAAGCGGTACCTCCACCCGAGCCAGGTGCCACGCGGGCCACTCCCCCTCACTGCTTCCTTGCAGAACAGGAGGGCCCCTTAGCAGGAAGCTCGCCCTGGTATGGGGCCCGTGGGCTCCGGGGTGACCGGAGACACGCAGAGCCCGCGGGGAGAGGTGCCCAAGCATCGGCAGCGGAGGGGCGGCGGGGCTCACGACCGCCTGACCGATCGCGCTCACCTGCGGGAGCGCACGGCCGGGGCTTCCCTCCTCGAGGCGGGCCTGCCGTGCGCGGCGTGAGTTCGCCATTCTTCCTGCCCGCCGCCCATCTTGCTCCCACGCGACGGCCGGCCGAAGTGCAGGTCCCCGGGGGACCACGAGGGCTTCTCTTAAATCTTAACTCTAGCTCCAGAGGTCCCGGGGACCGGGTTTGCCTCCCGAGGCTGCTGCCCTGGCGCGCTCGCCGAGGGGGCGGTGACTCCGGAGGAGGCGGGGCCGCCGCAGCTCCGCCCGCCGCCCGCCTCCCGGGCCTGGAGCGCGCGTGGCCCGAGCCGCCCGGCAGCGCCGCGCCCGGACTCGCTGGTCGCTGGCGAGGATGCTGGCGGGCTCCCCTGGGCTCGGCCCGCGCTCCCGCCGTGGAGGGCCTTGCGCGCTCCCCTAGCGCCGCCGCGATCCCCACCCGCACCGAGCCGGCGCCCCCGGATTTCCAGCCCCGCCGCCGCCTGCGCTTCCCTGAGGCGGAAGCCCGCGGATGCTGAGGGGCAGCCTCGCGCTTCTCGCGGTCGGGTCCCGGGCCTGACGGCGGGGGAGCCGGGGCCGGGCAGCGCTGCTCGGCGGGGAGCAGCGCCTCGGCGCACTGACCCAGCAGCCCGCACCCGGCCGTCCCGGAGCACGCGGCCCTGAGTCCTGCACAGGTAAGCGCCGGGCCCGCGCCCGGCTTCCAGGGGACAGGCAGCGCCCCGAGGCTGGGGAGGGATGGGAAGAGGGCCGCTAGGATTCCGAGTCTCCGAGGGCTGGGTGTTAAAAGGAAGTAAACAGAAGGAAGATACAGGAATCCCCAGGATGGTTCTGGTTTCTTCCTGGCACATTTTATTTTCAGCTTCAAGGGATTGGGCCTGAGGGAATTTAGGCGAGGAAGGCAGGGACTGAGCGGGATGACACAGAGAGCGGTGCTCAGGATGGAGCTGGCAAGGCCCCTGCATGAGACAGGAAACTGATGTCTGGTGTAGACAGCCGTGCGTGCTGCGTGGGGGCAGCGGGGAAGGCCCTGGTATGGGGGCGCTTGCAACAAGGAGCCTCCTGTGAGGGTGCGGAGGGCTGTGGGAAGTCACCCAGGAGGAAGAAAGGTGCTCCTACTTAGTGATGTCTTTCTAAGTTCCAGATGACTGCCGCCACCCGAGCCTTGGAAACCTGCTCTGTGCTCCTACCAGCCCTTCAGCCCCAGCCCAGAAGAGGCGTTCCACCATCGGCCGGTCTCAGTGAGCCCTGGTAGGTGGCCAGTTCCGGAGCCCTTCTGCTGCCCAGACCTCTTCTCCCGGGCCCAGTGGAAGCAGACGCCGGCCAGTATGCCGAGGAACCAGGGCTTCTCCGATCCTGAGTACTCGGCGGAGTACTCAGCCGAGTACTCAGTCAGCCTGCCCTCTGACCCTGAGCGCGGGGTGGGCCGGACCCATGAAATCTCCGTCAGGAACTCGGGCTCTTGCCTGTGTCTGCCTCGCTTCATGCGCCTGACCTTTGTGCCGGAGTCCTTGGAGAACCTGTACCAGACTTATTTCAAAAGGCAGCGCCATGAGACTCTGCTGGTGCTGGTGGTCTTTGCGGCCCTGTTTGACTGCTACGTGGTGGTCATGTGTGCTGTGGTCTTCTCCAGTGACAAGCTGGCTCCCCTCATTGTGGCTGGGGTTGGACTGGTGTTGGACATCATCCTCTTTGTACTCTGCAAAAAGGGTCTGCTCCCTGACCGGGTCAGCCGGAAGGTGGTACCCTACCTGCTGTGGTTGGTGATCTCAGCCCAGATCTTCTCCTACTTGGGCCTGAACTTTGCCCAGGCCCACTCAGCAAGTGACACGGTGGGCTGGCAAGTCTTCTTCGTCTTCTCCTTCTTCATCACGCTGCCCCTCAGCCTCAGCCCTATTGTGACCATCTCTGTGATCTCCTGTGTTGTGCACACACTGGTCTTGGGGGTGACAGTGGCCCAGCAGCAGCAGGACGAGCTGCAAGGGATGCAGCTGCTGAGAGAGGTGAGTCCTGCCTTCCCCCACCCTGCATCCCCTTGCCATAGGGGCTCAGGGCTCTCTGCAAGTGGTAGGGGTAAATGTGACTCGAAGGGGCAGCAACTGGGATTCTCATCTGATAGAGTAGGAACACCTCTCTCTCAACTCCTGGCTCTGCATACCGTATCATCCAGTGATTGCCCCTAGGGGCAAGAGGCTATCAGGTCATGGCCACCTGTGTTCTCTCTGAGCATTTGATAGGAAGACCCTTGTAGGTCTAGTCTAGAGACAGACAGCATTGTCCCAGCCTGGAGAACCTCTTGTGGGAGTTGTGCTCTTCAGCTGTCACTGCCTACCTCTAGCATGTGATTTGACTTGTGTGGGCTTTGTCAGCACACCTCTGTAAATGGGGGTACTGCCTGCCCTGCCTGCAGAACATGGCAATTGTCAGGATGAAAGGAAACATAGGTGAAAGCTCCTTAAGATATGTGAAGGGCTGTGGAGAGGGAAGATATAGTTATGTATCCTGCTTCTGCCACCAGGAACTCAGGGTGCCTTAAGTAGTTAGATGAGTGGAGAAGGCACTGTGTGGGGCCACTCCTGGGGACAGTTTTGCTGCCCCCTGTGATACAGAGCCTGCTAGACCTGAGGGATGGTTTCTGCTGAAAGAAGTCAGATTTTGGCCAAAGCCTAACTTATATAATGTGGTCCTACCAAGTGCAAAGAATTCCCACCAGGCCCTGGGGGACCACAGCAACTGGACACATGATCATAATCTTCTGTGCCCATTATCTGGTGACCAAAAGGAACACCATGGATCTTAGAGTCCATGGATTCCACAGTCTTACATCCTACTGTCTACTTCCTTATTTTATACTTGAGCTTGGAGCAGAGAAGTGATCTGTCCAAGGTTGCACATGTATGGCAGCCGTATGGCTGGAGTGTCCTTTCCTGCTTCTGCTTCCAGCTGTCTGCCCCCTGTATCTCATTGCCTCTGTCACCATGACCGCTACCTCCCTGGGGCTGGGAGCTGAGTCTCCAAGTGCCTTTGGTAGTTGATGCAAGAACGCTGGGGGCTGCTCCATCGCTTATGTGTGGGGCCATAAGAGATAATGGTTTTTGCTCAGGTTTAATTTTTTTCCCTAAGTTCTTGAGTCAGAGTACTTTCTGTTTTCCTGTTCTGGCCTGGGAGGTGACGTGTTTTGTGGGAGCTCCCTGACACTGCATTCTGCATGGCTCAGACCTGGGCTGTGCCTGTGCTTGTGCTAACAGGTCCTTTTATTTTTCTCCCAGTTCCCTTCTCATGCCCTTGCTGTCAGAACATCTGGGTTGATGGATTTCAGTGTGTGCCCTGCCTGTTGAAGGCTTTGCAGGACGCTGCCTGGGAAAGCCTGGCCGTAGTCATTCCTCTTGGGAATCTGTTAGAATATGATCAGATTGGCTGGCACCATTTGGGGCCTGAGGTCAAATTCTAAACTGTTACCTTCTAGTGAATGGTCACTTCCTGCCCTTTTCTCCCTGCTGCCAGGATCCCTAGCTCAGGGTGCTGTGAACAGTTAATACAACTGTGCTGTATGTAGGGAGAAGAGCAGAGCTTCTCCCAGTGGGAGCACAGAGCCCCTCTTCAAACCTCATGGCCTGCTTATTGGTAGGAGTCTTCTGGGATAGGGAGAAAGGACTTTTGAGGAACATGAAGCATTCATCTCCAAGCCGTTTCCAAGTCTTGGCAGAGTTCTGAGATAGGGGTAGAGAGGGACCCTACCAAAGTGTCAGCAATTCTGGGTTTCAGCAGGGAGCAGACTGAGGGGTAGAAAGCAGTGTGTGTCCCTGGGTGGGGATACCAAGCTGATGACTAGAGAACAAGGCAAATCTTCCCCAGGGATGGTGTCAGGCCTCCTGGCTTCATGCTGGTGAGAGGACCTGATTCTTACTCCAGGGCAGTTCTGTGGAGAGTGGGGCTGGCATGGTGTCAACTTGAAGCGATGACCTGCTGGAGGCCAGGAGAGGCAGGGTATATTGACCTGTGCCGCCAGTGGCCCTTGGGCAAGGAGTGGGCTATGGAAACTGGCCATGGAGCAGTCTGAGGGTGAGTGGACACATTTCACTCCAAGTTTCTCTACTCATGCCTTAGCCTTCTGATTTTTTCTAGCGATGGTCACAGGACTTTAACCCAAGCAGGGAGTTTGGGAGAACATCTAGTCCCAACCCACCCATTTTATAGAGATAGTAGCCATGCTGCCTCCTCTCCCAGAGCTCCCGTGTGGTTAGAGGAGCATCACTGTGTGCTCTGTTGGGTGTTTGTCCTGTTAACTAAGAGCTCAAGTGCCTCCCACTACCTCCTGAGGACAAGGATGCCTGCAGTTCTTCCCAGATCTCAGTGAAGGCAAAGCCTGTAGGGATCCCCAGCTCTCCGCTCATGGACTAGGTGGAAGCAGGACTCTTTTCTTCTCCCCTGGATTCCTCTTCCCTCTACCTCTGAGAAGGTCTGTGAGAGCCTTCAAGCCTTGTTGCTATGGGGCTTGTCTCCTAGGTAAGCAAGGAGGTTCTTGGCAAAAATGACTGGGGGCTTTGATCCAGCCGGGGTGTGGCCACAGAGCTCACAAGCCCCCAGAAATCCATGTGTCATCAGTAGAGTGTGTGTGTAGCATGCACGAGGCTCTAGGTTCCACCCCTAACACCCAAAATAAAATGAAAATAAAAAAAATTAGCATCCCAAGGGAACATGACCTTGACATGAAGCTGTGCTGAAACTTGGCTTTGGGACTAGAGAGGGGAAGAGAGGGGGACTCCCAAGGTTAAGCTGGGAGCCTGAGACAGGAGGCTGAAAGGCCCAGCTTACAGTGGGCTGTGTTCCAGAAGTTTCTGAGTCACTTGTTTGGGACCAGTGTGACTTTTTAAAAGGTGCTTGGTTCCCAGGCTCACCCACCAACGTCCTCCTAAGTCACAACATTGCTGTGTTTGTCCCTGAGCATTGTGGAGACCTTGCCTGGGTAGCTCTGTGGCTGTGGGGAGGGAGACCTGGGACCATCTCACCCTGGCCAGTAGCGGGGAGTGTCATTCTGCCCTGAGCCTGTGTTGCCTCCTGGGTGGGGGGCTCCCTGAAGGATGTGAGGGGCAGGGGCTTGAGAGCCAGATACCACCCCATCCTAACCAGGCTACCTCCCAGGAACTTTGTCAGACCTACTTGGGGTCTGTTTTCCTCTTTCTGCTGCGTATGTGCCCCCACTCTCACCCCTGCCCTGGGCAAGTGGCCCTCTGGCAAGGAGTGGGCTATGGAAACTAGCCATGGAGCAGTCCCATGGCTACAATGCAAAGACTCCCCCTTGCATTGTAAAGGACAGACTTGAGTGTCACAGTTAACACCTATGGTTCTGGAGGACTTGTGAATTGTGTGGTTTGGCTTTCACTGATAGTAGCACCAAAGTGGCTTTCCCAGTGCCAGCAGTCTTCTTCTGTAGCCCTCATGAGCCCCAGTCCATACCCAGCCCTCTGTGGAGAAAGATGGAAGGTACGCATGGGGTGCAGGGATGCCAGACACCCTGTCTGTCCTGGGTTCTTCTCAGGAGCTGACAGGTGGGATTCTAGTGGGAGAGCAAGTTGAGGCAGGGATGGGTGGGCTTGGAGTTTTACTGCTTCACTGACAGATTATTCTAGAACATTACAGAGTATTACTGGGTCTGAGCTTTTCAGCACTCAGGGACCAGGAGAGTGCATCAGGCTGTGGTGGGGACAGCCCAGGCCTGGGGCTCTCTGGGAGAAAGTGGTTATGAGAGGGGCTGGAGCTGCTGCTGGCAGCCTTTACCTGGGTCTCCCCTCTCCTGGGTCATGGCTTGCATAGCTTGTGAAGCATAGTTAGACCTTTACTCACCCAAATTTAAAGGAGGAGAGATTTGTTTGGCTTATTGTTTTACTGTGTTCAGTCCATGGCTATTTGGCTCCAAAGCAGAGATGGCCTGGTAGTAAGGCCTGGTGGAGGACACCTGCCTACCCTGTGACAGCCAGGCATCAAGGGATCATTTTAGGTCTACACTATAATGGCCTGTTAAGATCTTTACTCATAGAGTAAAATAGGATGATGCTGTGGATGTGTAATTCCTTTCACACCTGCAAAATGCATGGGAAGTCACTCACCCAGTGAAGGAACATGTGGAATAGGGAGAATGTGTGAGAAGGGACAAGACTTCCAAGGACAGCCTTGTCTAAAACTGAATTAAGGGGGGGGCCTGGCCCTAGCTCAGTTCTTTAAGTGGCTGCTTCCACAAAGCTGTCAGCCTCAGGTTGCTGTAGTTCGATCCTCACAGCACTCCGGCCAGCCAAAAGTGCCCTGAAGGCATTCAAGGAGAAAAAAAAAAAAATAATAATCCTTGGGGCCGGGGAGATGGCTCAGTGGAATAAGCGCTTCCCTGGCAAGCACAAGGGCTGAGTTCAATCCCCGGTTCCGCAAAAAAACAAAACTGAATTAAATGTCCTTATACGGTGATCATCCCATTAATCATAGGTGTGATTGGTTCCATTTCACAGATGAGGAAACTGAGGCCCAATGAGGTAGAGGAGATAGATGACTAGGGAGGGGACACTGATGAGTGAGAAAGGGGGATGTGGGCTTCCCTGAGAGACCTTTTTGCTCAGTGCAGCAGGCATTGGCCTCCTCCTGCCTCTTTGGCTGTCTCAGAGGCCTTTGCTAAATGCTTAAGCATAGCACCAAGAGATGGAAGGCCCTAAAACATGATAGGAAGCACCCCCACCCTGAATTGGATGCAAGGAAGGGACAAGCCCATGACAGAATGTTCCCTGTACGCCTGCACCCGGAGCATGTGACGCATGTGAGAGACGTGGTGAGGTCAGGAAAGCAGCAGGTCTGGGCTCTTTCGGCCACCGGAAGCCGCCTGTGGGTGAGGCTGTGCATGGGCAGGTCAGGAGAGATAGACATCCTGGTTTTGAGGCCTGAGCTGTGCCACCAACCCTGGGCAGGAGGGCAGCAGCCAACTGTTCCTGAAGAGCACACAGATTGGCATCTGGGGAGAACTGGACTGCTGCAGAAATGCACAGAGGGAAGCCGCAGGGCCCTCAAATCCGGCCAACTGTGCTGGA